GGTTGGTAGGTTGGTAGGTTGGTAGGTTGGTTGGTTGGTAGGTTGGTAGGTTGGTAGGTTGGTTGGTTGGTAGGTTTGTAGTGGCTGGTAGGTTGGTAGGTTGGTAGATTGGTTGGTTAGTAGGTTGGTAGGTTGGTAGGTTGGTAGGTTGGTAGGTTGGTAGGTTGGTAGGTTGGTAGGTAGGTTGGTAGGTTGGTAGGTAGGTTGGTAGGTTGGTAGGTAGGTTGGTAGGTTGGTAGGTTGGTTGGTAGGTTGGTAGGTTGGTTGGTTGGTTGATTGATTGGTTGGTTGGTTGGTTGGTTGGTAGGTTGGTTGGTTGGTTGGTTGGTTGGTTGGTAGGTAGGTTGGTAGGTTGGTAGGTAGGTTGGTAGGTTGGTAGGTTGGTTGGTAGGTTGGTAGGTTGGTTGGTTGGTTGATTGGTTGATGTATTTTCAAGAAATTCCATTTAAATATAATTCACACTAATAGATACATCATTTAAAACATAAATTAGAGTAACAGTGAATAAGATGTTCGGTGTTTTTCTTTCTGAAAAAGATAAATATTTTCTCTTCTTTCTGTGAAAATTCGCAATTCATAAAAAATCAAGGGTCTTGTGTACGTACTGTATAAATACAAATAACTGTTGTCAGAGAATCAGATTTAGGTTAAGCGTTCAGAAAAATGTAATTTTGGCAAATGTTTTAATGCAAATAAGACTAAGTTTCAAAATAAAATAAAAAATTTTGGATAAAAGTTATAAACCTCTCTCCACACTTTTCATATCCACAGTTTGCATATTCTGTAGGACTTCCAGAACATTTCCCCCTATAATCAAAATAAATTTAAAAAGGATTTTTTAAAACTTTTTTTGTAATTTTTACCTTGTTCCATCGCACTCTCTAAATCTCCTTTTGACCCCTTCACTGAAAATTATTTTTTTTGTTATAAAATTTTGAGAAATTTTCCAGAGAAAATATGAACAACAAGGATAGGAGAAAAATCAGGGAAAGGTTTCCAATGCAATTCAGTGGCGCAAGCTGAAGCTCTTTTAATTGTATTATGATTACCTACAGCTGGTAGAACAGCTGGAATATTCTGACCATGAAGTCCATTGTCTAGATTTAGACAGAACCAGGTTACTTGAGGACGTCTCTTAATAAAGATTAGATTATAAATAAAACTTAATTTCAATTACAGATTCAGGTACATTACTTAAAACTATTACATCTATTTGATTTACTTGTAGGAGGTGGAGTTGATCTAGTAGTAGAAGGTGGAGTTAATCTGTTAGTAGGAGGTGGAGTTGGTCTAGTAGTAGGAGCTGAAGTTGGTCTAGGTGTATCAGCCGGAGTTGGTCTTGGAGTTGTACACTTTGAAGAGCTACACCTGAAGAAAAAAATACATGCAACAAGTAAACACATTTTGGAAAATGATACCTCTTGATAATAATCCTTTTTAACAAGACGTTTATCTTGTAATTCTCAATTTATAAATATTAAAAAATAATTTGAATTATTATAAATAAATAGAAAAAGGATGAAGAATATTACTTGGTGATTTGAGTATCCTCTCCAGAACAGGTATTTACACCAGAACGTAAACTTAATACAAAATTCAAATTAAAAACTAAGAAATTATGATATTATTTTATGAGTTTTAAAGAAAATAGTAAAGCATTTCTTTTACAAAATTCATTCTAGGAAACATGAAAGCATCATAAAAGAATGTCTGAGTTAAAATGTGTTTTAATCAAGCATTTAAAGCATATTCTCATTCACTATGATTCATACTGATTTAAAATTAGAAAGATATTATTGTTTCTCTTAACTGTCTCCTTTTTCTGTGAAAATCATCAATTTTTTATGAAGAGACCAATGCTTACATACAGTGAAACCCTTAATAACGAATTCATCGGAAGAACTTATCAAATGTCGTCTTGAAAATTTTTCAATGAGTTTTGTACTATATTACTTATATTTCAGTATTTGTGAAGATAAATAAATAGTCATGAATATGCGGGAACAGTTTTGAATAGTTGCATATAATCATTTAATTAAAAAACTAAATATCTGCAACATTCCATTATCAGAAAGTGTAGAATACGACATTTGATGAATTCTTTCGATGTATTCTTTATTAAGGGTTTCACTGTATGTAAGCATTGGTCTCTTCATAAAAAATTAGTACTATGTACTCTATAAATGCAGAAAACAAAGAATTCGAGATTTTTGTTTTGAATACATCTAAAACTCAAGTTGGAAGTTATTAAAAATCCAAAATAGTTGAAAATCTAGAAATCTTTATCCCTGTTTAATTAACATAAAAGGATTTATTTCGAATTTTTCTTGCGTAAAATGTATAGTACCTATTACCTAAATTCTAGGGATGCATTAGGTGTTTCACAAATTCTAGATCTAGTTCTGGAACCTGATATAGTTTATGCAAAATATTATTAAATATAAATGAATGTGGAGACCAAACTTAACGGAGTCTTTGCACCACACAAACTCTGATTTTTAAATTCCTTTATCTTTGCAATCCAATGTGATAAACCTTTGTTATTTCAAACCATAAATTCTGTCAGATCAAGTATTCGAAGTTTAACATATGTTAGGATTACACCATCAGGTTGCAAAGATGTAGGGATTAGAAAATTTTAGTTTGTGGCATAAACTCAAATCATTTAGAAACTGAATAATACATTAATAAATATACTATATTTCTATATTTCTATATACCTCCCAATACGAGAGAAATCTAAATATCTTTTTTAATTATTTGTCAAATATAAAAAATCTCAGTTAGCTCAGTAATCTAGTAGCAATCTAGTAGCAATCTAGTAGCAATCTAGTAGTAATCTAGTAGCTATCTAGTAGCAATCTAGTATCAATCTAGTAGGAATCTAGTAGCAATCTAGTATCAATCTAGTATCAATCTAGTAGCAATCTAGTAGCAATCTAGTAGCAATCTAGTAGCAATCTAGTATCAATCTAGTAGGAATCTAGTAGCAATCTAGTATCAATCTAGTATCAATCAATCTAGTAGCAATCTAGTAGCAATCTAGTAGCAATCTAGTATCAATCTAGTAGCAATCTAGTAGCAATCTAGTAGCTATCTAGTAGCAATCTAGTATCAATCTAGTAGCTATCTAGTAGCAAAAAAGACAACTTTCCCCTCCTTCATTTTTAATAAATCAATGCACAAATCAACTTTTTTGTTTTTTAGTTTATTGAAAAAAATTATTGTGATTCCACTGTTCATAATATTGTTGGAAAAAATCTAATATAATATAATATTGATTAAATCTCAAAATATTAATGGAAAGATACTTTTAGAAATAATGGATAGGGTACATATTTATGTAATAGAACCATTCTTCAAGTTTACAGTGAACAGAATTGTTATTGTTATACCTCGCCATTTTTTACCTCCTCTTTAAGAAATTTTATTTGATATTTTGTAATGATATTTTTATTGTATTTTCTTCTTTACCTGGGCAAGGTAAACTGCAGGGTCCCCAGCTGGACCAGCTGGACCAAACTTAAAGTAAGAAATTGAGTTTTTGCAGTGAAACACAGTGAAAGTTTAAGTCTTTACGTGGGCTCAGTGGTAATATTTAACCAGCTTGTGCGGTTATTCTTTAAATTATATTACAATACAAGTTAGGTGACAGAAAATAGTATTTTTAAACAAAAGAACTATTGGAAGTATTTCTATACGTGGAGTTCTTAGATTTATTGTTGACTAATAAAACAAAATCTTTTCATCTTTTCTGTGATTTAGGAAAAATATCAACAGGGTTACCCATAAAGGATGAGACTATAAGGACTACTGTAGAGAATTCATACTGTCTGTTTCCTTATATTTGTGATTACGAGCAACTGTAAACTTGTGTCTCTCTTTGCTTAATCATTAAATAAGCCATATTCTCTTCAAGGTAGAAAACTTGAATTAACCTTGGAACTGTCAGATTTATAAAGTTTCAGGTCGTCTTTGCAGTCTCATCCTTAGTGGGTAACCCTGTAACTTACCTGGACAATTTTTGAGAATACATGTTTTTGTAATTGAATCAGTTCCTTGGCAAGTTTGTCCAATTGGGCATTTTCTCACACGAACCTAAATTCTAATTTTAAATGACCTTTTAATTAAAGATTGCCATAAATGATTCCCAAAAGTAATGTTTGAATAATCATTTGAGGAACTAAGGTAAAAATCTCAATAACATTATAGATATTTTACTGTAAACTACGGCTAATTTCAAGTACCGGGCCGACTTTTATCCAGATAGAGCAAGCTGTACAGTACACTACATATACAGAATATACAAGGTAAATCGCGCGGGAGATTCGTGTGAATTAGATGTATACAGACATTATACATTAGACGCCAAATTAATACTCCCCTTTAAGTGAGATTAGTCTTCATAAAAAGTTTTCATAACCAAAAAATTTTGAATTCATAAATCTTATGTTATAGATTTGAAAATTGTAAAACTTAACCCATGAATGGGCATTATAAAGGGTGTACATAAAAAAGGTTCCCACTAGAACTCTCGATATTGGCAATACAATCTTGTGAATTCATATTTATCTTATAATGGTTATAATAAAACTAGTCCATGCAAAAAATATCGGATTTGAAAATTATTTAGTAGTTGTTTTTGGACGTCTGCTACCCGGTGTCGGAAATCGTAGCCGCCAGCTAGCTAGACAGAACCTCATAGACTCTTATCAACCTTGTAAATACGACAAAGGTTCTTATTTTCGTTGTGAACATTAATAGCTTTTAGTTTCGTATTTTTGATAAGCATTTTTGCCATGCTTCCTTTAAATTTCTTTATCACTTAATTTGAACACCTGAACATGAGCGGAAATCTTTCTGGATTTGTTAGGATTTTTCCTTGGATTGGATCTGAATTATCTGAAAAAAGGCTTCCTTCCACAAACTTTTCAATTCTTAGACAAATCTAAAGATGTAAATAGCCCCATGACTTCAAATTTATTCTTTTCTTCTGAACAAAGTCACCTCTTGAACTTTTTAAGCCACTTTTTAATACAGGATTCATCTTTTATCAATGCAAACTTCTTTCTTATGATTTAGAAAATTGTCAGCTTAATATTAATAGATTTAAGTAAATTAGAAATTAAATTAAAGAAGTGGCCGTTAGATTACATTTAAAACCTTTCACGGAAATGTAGCATTTTCGTGACGTTACAACAATAAACCTAGCCCGTGAGAGCTTATAAGCAGTCTGTGTATATCTAGTCTTTGATCTATTTCATAAGCTTACCTTGTTACCGCTTCCACAAGATGTACTGCATGTACTCCAGGAACCCCATTCAGTCCATCCACCATTATCAGGTTGCTGAATAACAGTATTTTCCAGAATCCAGGTCAGATGATCTTTAAAGGGACTGTTAGTGTAATTTCAAACCATTCATGCAAAGATGTCAATGCCTGAGTGACAACTGTACTCTAAAACCTATATTTGAATAATAATATGGAATCATTGTCGTTTAGTATGTTTAGTTTTGATAATTCCTACAGTTTACCCTAGACATTTTAAGTTATCGAAAGAGTTAAGAAATGTTGTCTTGACAAATTTTCAATGGGTTTTATATTGCTATACGCAAATTTTAGAAATAGCAAAAAAAAATAGCCATGAATATGCGGGAACAGTTTTAATGAGCTCCATATAATCAATTAATTAAAAAACTAAATATCTGCAGCATTCCAATATCAGAAAGTGAAAAATACGACATTTTATAAATTCTTCCGATTTCTCTTTACAGTTGAACTTAACTGTCTATTTTTGTCTATTTTTGGATAGAAACCCCTTTTTTAAATAATCAGTTTTCAAAACTATAAACATTGATATCTAATTCATACTTGATTAGACAAAGCTCTTAAGGGCACCATTGTGAGTTGGGCCTTGCCACCTTTGTATGAAGGGTCACTTGAAATTTCGCTTACAGTCCCTTTAAAGTTTGTATAAACTCCAGGCCTTCCTCTTGCTAGTCAGACAGATAATTTAAATGAAAGTTGATAGGATAAGGTGATTATTAACATTTTACTGAGCAAGTTTTATTGTAAACATAAAATTTAGATAAACAACACCCGGAATGTATTTGGATGGCAAAACTGTTTGTTAATCTACATCATGTATGAGTTGATTTATTACACTGGGTTAAGTTTTAATCTGACATCTATATGATATTAGGTTTCTCAAACAACTATAGCAATATAGCAAGTTTTGGTGAGTTGCCTTTTTCAATCACTTTTAGATTTTCGCGCATTTGGTGCATCTTTAAAAGTAATAAATGATAACATTTTGTTTCAAATATTTCGATTTTGACGATCCACATACCCTGGGGTCATGTGAGCTACCATAACAAATTTAGGGACGTTCGTTTATGCCGATTTATCTATTAATAAATACATAAAAACAGACAGAAAGGCAAAACATACTTATAGATATTGTAAATTAATCTGTAAAACATAAAAAAAATTTTGAATGAATTATCTTTAACCTAATCCGCAATCACTTTCTCCAAAACTTACCAGACCAACAACAATGAAACTCTTACAAATTATATTAATCGATACATAAAGTTATCATGTAAATGTAAAGTAGTAACATCTCTGTTTGTTTGTTTGTTTGTTTGGATGTCCAATCATAACTCATGAATCCCTGGACCGATTTGCCTCAAATTTTGATTGGGGAACTCGGGAGAACCACCGGAACGTTCTAGGTTTGGTTTAAAAAAACTCTAAGTTGAGTGGGTTGACTTTTAGTTAAGGAATGAGATTTGTTAATTCTTAATTTATTTAATAATTAAAAAATTTAAGAGAAAAAAAGATTAATATTTTCCTGATCATATCTTTGATACATTAGTCCTCCTCCTGAATCTCCATTACATGAATCTGATACACGACTAAATATATTATTTTATGATTTAAAGGGACTGTGAGCTTAATTTAAAGGGATTGTAAGCTTAATTTCAAGTGACCCTCCATACAAAGATGACCGATTTGACACAGTTATCTGATTAACAATGTGGAAGATATTGTTGTTTTTCGGACACAAATAGTGTTTATTTCTGTAGATTTCTTCATTGCTTCTTATAAGCAAGGCATGTGCAAGTCAATTTTACAGAGAAACCGCAAATGAAAGTAAACAATTTTAAGAAACTAAATACTATATGGTCAGACTAAGCTTTTAAAATTTTTAAATTTTTTTTTTAATTTTTAAAATTTTGTAAAAATCACGCATACAGTCCCTTAAATATATATTGTAGAGCGTCATTGTCCTTATTTTATACCTGCTCTCTGATTTAGAAGAGTTTCCTATTGCACAGAACTGATTTCCTTTGATTTCCCAGGCTACTCTACAAATACATGGGATTCTCTCCCAGAATAGAGCTAAAATGTCGTCGTATTTATCAATACAATGAAGACGACTTTTGATTTCAATTTTTGATTTATACCAAGCTTTCCAAAAACGTGTTTATCTTGTAACCTTGTTATTTAAAAAATGCTTGAAAGAATCAAAACTTAAATAGAAAAGTTTACTTTATTGTATTGATATAAACGCTGACCACTGCGCGCAATGTTAAGATACATTGACTGGAAGTAGGTCTAAATATAGATTTAGTCTGGTATATGTAAAATTAAGCATTAAGACGTCATGTCTGAGTTGTATAAAAGCCCAGCTTTAAGTCTAAGTTGAGGGGCATTTGTTGGTTTAAAAAGTCAAAAAATTTGAACATCCTTAGATTAATACTTTTTTAATATGTACANTATACATTAGATTTTCTTCAAGACTTTTCTATACGAAAAAAAAAATATCCTTCTCAGTTTTAAAAAATACAGGAATATTTATATAATTCCAGAATTGGAAGACGACAGTTAAACAATCTTATATGTTTATGCTGTTAATACAAAGCAAAAAGTTTGAAAACCAACTTACTAAATACAACGGGATCATGTTTCCCGACAGACAGAAACAATAAGAATAACTTGAATTTTAAAAACTTTCAAGTTTTTCCTTACACATTTTTAACATGGAATTTTTGCAATGTTTTTGGAAAGTAAACGTATTGTCATATGAACTTAGTGCCTTAGAACTGAACTATTCCTTTCTTATATAAGAATTTTAATCACCGTAATTCATAGTTTATGTAGTATATCGTGTACTGCATGTAGTATATCGTGTACGGCTTGTAGTATATCGTGTACTCCATGTAGTATATCGTGTACTGCATGTAGTATATCGTGTACTCCATGTAGTATATCGTGTACTGCATGTAGTATATCGTGTACTCCATGTAGTATATACTGCAGAATATAAACTTCTTTTTGAAAAAATAGCCATTCCACAAGTTCAACTGCCTTTTTGAATAAAAATACACACGAGGAAGGATGCTTCATTTTGTGCCCTTTTGTAGTCCAAAAACCTGAAAAGCCTTGGGAAAAAACGAAACAAGTTATTTCTCATCTCTATACAGTATACACAGTTATCATCTTGAGTCCTACTGTCGTCTTCCTATTCCGCATATTTATGTAATGTATATGAACGTGTTTACCTGCAAACCTGTTCATCTTGAAGTTGAACCTGACTGTATTGAAGAATATCTGGGTGATCTCTTACATCTGGATCATTTACTCCGAACCCATATATACTCAGTACTTTTACATCACCCTGCAGAGAAATAAATGCTTCAGCAAGCCCAGCTTTTCACCTCCTCATTTGAAAATCAATATATCTACAGTCTACACCAGCTTTTTTGGATAAGCAGAATTTTTAAAAGTTTAAACCCATTGAACTCTTACATGATAAATAAAAAAGGAGACCCCCCCCCTTCCCCACATGATGCCCCCCCCCCGTTAACCGTCTGAGCTAGCTGGAAAGAACTTCAGGGAAATTTTTAGAGACATGCCCGATTTGATTGAAACCTTAATATGATTAACTGCTGTTGTAGTCTCACCCTATACTGCTTCAAAGTATGATAATTTCCTCTATTATTTTTCATAAAGAAACCGCAATTGAAAATAATAATTTTTTATAGAGAAATCATTGATACCTAATTTATTTCTAAAGGTTACCGTTATTAATGGTAAACGTGCCACTCCAAATATTGAGGGTTCCTTGAAAATTCGTTTACGGTCCTTTTAAGAGTAGCTGATCATCTATTCACCTTGTTAATAAGAATATAGTCGTCCAAGGATGGTAAACAAGCCGGCCATATTGTATCTTTAATAATGACCGGCACAGCTAGCTCAAGCACAGCCAGGTCAGCTCCAGCTGTTATGTTGTTTTGTACAGTAAACCTAGAATAATTGGAATATTGTTTAGTAAACCTAGAATAATTGGTTTATTGTTCAGTAAACCTAGAAAAATTGGTTTATTGTTCAGTAAACCTAGAATAATTGGTTGTTTATTGTTCAGTAAACCTAGACTAATTGATTTATTGTTCAGTAAACCTAGAAAAATTGGTTTATTGTTCAGTAAACCTAGAATAATTGGTTTATTGTTCAGTAAACCTAGAATAATTGGTTTATTGTTCATTAAACCTAGAATAATTGGTATACTGTTTAGTAAACCTAGAACAAATAGCTTGTTATATTGTACTAAAATCCTTGAAAAGCTGTCATATTGGTTAGTAAACCTGAAACTGCTGTTATATTGTTCATTAAATTTTACATTGTTAAGTAAGGCTAGAAATGCAGTTTGTTCAGTAAACCTGGAACAGCTGTTATATTAATTTAGTAAACTTAGAAAACAATTGTTTGAATGGTTAGTAAACCTTTAACAGCTGTTATATAGTTCAGGAGACCTAGACAATAATTGTTTGAATGATTAGTAAACCTATTATAACAGCTGTTATGTAGTTCAGTAAACCTAGACATTAATTGTTTGAATGATTAGTAAACCTTAAACAGCTGTTATATGGTTCAGTAAACCTAGAAAATAATTGTTGAATGATTAGTAAACCTATAACAGCTATTATATAGTTCAGTAAACCTAGAAAATAATTGATTGAATGATTAGTAAACCTGTAACAGCTATTGTATAATTTAGTAAACTTAGAAAATAATTGTTTGAATGATTAGTAAACCTATAACAGCTGATCGTGTTGGAGAGAACATTTTTTTAAATCATAACTTTCCTTGTCTATGCACATTGCTCAAAGTCTACGAAAAATATTGAAAACTTTTACTTATTCAAAGACATTTCAAAATGCATGGTTTGGATTTTTGCAAATTTTTTAATGATCATTTAAAAATTCACAATTCGAGCATACATGATACATATTCACTAATGACAAAAACATGACTATACAATACATATAACATCACGTTGTGGCAGTGCCCCAGTATGGCACGGGATGATTGAGCAAGGTGCTCAACGAACATGTATATATATAATGTATACACTTTTAGAGTTTCACTAAAGATTTCCCTATTCTTGCTCTTTTCCAATAAATCATGGTGATCGGCAATATTGATAATATATTTGCTGCATTTATTTATATTTTACGAGAAAAGAAAAGAGGTATGAGATGCCGAGATCTATTATGAGCTTAAAGGAATTAAGTTTTTGCCACAAACTCTGATTTTAGAATCCATATATCTTTGCAACCCAGTGTCGGAGACCTTAGATATTTCAAACTATGCGTTCTGATAGATCAAATAATCTGGGTTTAAAAGATCAAGTGTTTACATAATCAGGTTGAAAAGATATCGGGATTAGAAAATTGTTAGTTAATAGTGTACAGTGAATATTATACTAGAGCATATGACCGATCACCAGAATCTAACTGTAGGGATGACAGAAAATCAAATATCGAAATCTATAATTGCATTCAAGATTGTAAAATTGAAATCCCTAAAGCATTCAAAATCATAGCAGCCGGGCCCTTTTGCTACTTAACTAAATAGGAAAAATTCTTATTCGTCCATCATGACGGATGCGAAATTTTGTTGTTCGGTTTCATTGGTGGGACGGATCTTAAGGTTCCTGGTTTCGTCTCCATAGTGGGATGCATATAAAGGTTCCTTGTTTAGTTTCCTTAGTGGGACAGATATTAAAGTTCTTGGCTCGGTTTCCTTGTTGGGACGGATATTAAGGTTCCTGGTTTAATTTCCTTGGTGAGACGGATATGAAGGTTCCTGGTTTAATTTCCTTGACGGAATGGATGGAATTAGAAAAAAGCAAATTTGCTGGTCATCCTCTTATACCCTGAGGAGAGGGGGGTGGGGCCGGGGGGAGGTATCAATACTAACATTAGAAAGTGAATTTCAACATATATATATCTATACACGCTAAATATCATTAGAAAAATATTATGACACACACTGAAGTGCCGGTGGGGGAGAGGGGTGTATTGGGGGATTTTATTTATGAAATATCTGTAATTTTCAGATTTGAAATAAATTGGTTGGTGATGGCGTTATTAAATAAAATGACCGGCAAGTGGAGTTTCTCTTTAAAGGGAGTGTTCGCGAAAAATGAAAGGGAGTATAGGCTTACAGTGAAAAATAAGCGCTTTTGATCGCTACTAGCCTACTAATCTTACTTCTATCTGTTTCGTCTATGATGAGAAAATTTTTAAAAACAACTCATGCTAAAGAAAGTAGCGTCCATACAAATTTAGAAAGTTGAAACATTCAAATCTTTTACGATCCGAGTTGAATGTGTATTGAATTTGTATGGACGCTATGTTCTTCAGCATGAGTCGTTTTTAACAATTTTCTCCTTATAGACGCGACGCAACAGATAGAAGTACGATTTGTAGCGATCAAAAGCGTTTATTTTTCACCTCAAGCCTATAACCCCTTTAATTTTTCGCGAACACTACCCTTCAAGGGACTTTAAGGTTAAGTCATAACATATCATAATTAAAAAGCTGGCAACGCCGGATTTACAACAACAGTACATATTAAAAGCTTTGTCTGATCAAGTATGAATTAGATATGAATGTTTAGAGTATAGAAAATTGTTTTATTTTTTACAATTGTGGTATCTATATAACGAAGACTTGCGCATTACTACTGCAGGAAAAAATATAGGAATTATCAGAATTTGACACTTTTAAAACAACAAAATCTTGCACAATATTGAAGATAAAGGTTTTTAAGGTATCGGTATTTTTGCAAGGAGGGTCCCATGGAATTAAGCTTTATACAGTCCCTACAAGACTAAAAGATGTAAAATTGCTGGGGTAGGTCATTTCATGAGATAGAAAAGAAGATTTATAATTTCCCTTTTTTATTGACAATTTATTATTCTTTTACTCAGACATTTTTTATTAATTGTTTAAAGAGAGTGACCAACAATGTATGAACTGAGAAAGCAGTTTTGCAAAGAAATTATTTGAGTTCTATCAGATGTTTTTACGGTGCATATTGCTCAGCAAGAGTGATAAATTAATTTTTAAATCCTCCTTCATCGTCCACTCTGGAGAGATGATTTTGAGAATCGGTTTTTTTTTATTATTCAATAATAACGACGAAAAATGTAACATAAATCTTAGAGTAAACTAATCTCAATTTCTCTATAGAAATTTGTCAATAAATAAATGTTATATAAAACAATTATTTCCTTTTCCATCATTATATTGAATTTCTTTTTTTGCTTAACAAATTTGTTCGCAGATTTCTTCAAATTTTTCAAATATCGTCTTTTCAATAAAAATTTCAGGAAATGTTTGTGAACAATGAGACATTTCAGAGACTGAATAAGATTAGTTATTTTCTAAGATAAGAGTTAATTTTTATCTTATCAATTTGTTTCTAAACAACTTATTAGTTTACTATCGATTGTTTGTTACATTTTTGTGGTCATCATTGAATAATTAAAAAAAAACACCAATTCTCAAAATCATTCCTCCAAAATAGACAGTCTATGAGGATCTTAAAGGGTGAATTTGTACATTTGCTGAACAAATATGCATCGTAAAAACGTCTGATAGTTCTCAAATTCTCAGTTCAACTACTTTACATTCCCGGTCACTCCCTTTAAATGCCACAGTGATCCAAAGGTTGCAAGCTATTATGCAAAAACCGAAATTTAGCTAAAAACAAATATGCTACTGTCTTACATGTTTAGGGCTACCAAAAAAAGTGATTTAGTGTGTTAAAACCCAAGACTATGTCGATGCGATACTTTAAAACCAAACCAGTCGAGTCTTGAAATAGATTTATTCCAACTTCACAGAGGAAAACCTCTCAACTATTAGCTCATCAATAATATGGAAAATAACTTCTCCTGCATTCATTCCAAGACCCTGTGTTTAAAGCATAGATATACATGACTGTAACCTCCGGTATGGTGAAGACGACATAAGCTATCTATATTCTTGTATATCTATGGTTTAAAGTTAACTGCATTTTTCTGATGAAATGTAATTTTGGAGAAAGTAAATGAAATAAAATGATATAAAAAGATGCAATACTCAGTTAAGTTTGTCAAAAATTTCATTGTAAAACAGTTTAAGAATTCAAAACACAAAATATTAATCTTAAGTATAATTTAAAAAATGGTTTGAGTTGTGCTTTTTTGCGTGACGTGGCTGGATTTTTTTAAATCACACTTTAAAAGGCCCTAAATATACCATTTAAAAAAGTAGTTTTGCCCGGAAGAGTCAAATGTGGTAGTACGGAAGGAAAAATAGTGGTGGCTCAAGGCTGCCGGAAGAGAAAAAAGCTAATATGTGGCACGGAAGGGGAAATAGTGGTGGCTCAAGGCCGCCTGCCTTCCCCCGCTCACACAGCTAGCCGTTTCATTTTCTCTTCAATTTAATTTGAGCTTTTGTCATTTTACTTGTCAACGGGGTTATACAAATTTGAGGGGGGGGGGGGGAAACCTTAGTGTTTCTGCTTGTAAAAAATACAAAAATAAATTGAAAGAATACAACTATTCTTTTATATGTTAATATGTTGACTGTAAGCGTAATTTAAAATGACTCTCCATGCAAAGATGGTAATGCCTGATTCACCACGGTAACCTTGAAAGCTTTGTCTGATTAATTAAGTAAGAATTATATATCCATGTTTTTTGGTTCTATTTTGGTTTATTTCCATTTGCGATTTCTCTGTAAAAGTGACTTGAAAAGCGCGCGAAGGTTTCTTCCACATTTTCAATTAGCTTAAGGTTTCAAGGGTACCGTTGTAAATAAGACATTGCCATCTTTGCATGGAGGGTCACTTATAATTACGCTTACAGTCCCTTTAATTCAACTTCTTTGATATATTTCATTCCTTAACATAAACGCAGTTCTCGCTTTATATATTATATAAATATATACTTAACCTACATTTCCTATACGAGGAGGATCCTTGTGTGATGTGTCAACAAACATTAGTATTTTAAAAGTATTTTTAAGTGGTATAACGAAACTATAATTTGACAGCGAGAAGTTCAAAGAAAATGGATAAAATTAGGGGGGGTTGGAGTAGGAAATAAAGGAGGGAGAGGGGACTAGTGAGAAGAGGGAAGGGGGAAGGGAGGAAGGGTGGTAAAGAAGGTAGGGAACACGGGGTGGGGAGTGGGATGGGAAGGGGGGGAAGAAAGGTAGGTTGTATTTGTAAAGGAGGGCTAAAAGAAAGGAATAGAGATTGAAAAAGGAAGAGAAGAAGGAAGGAAGATAATAAGTGAAAGGGAATATGAAGAAAGGGAAAGGGTTATATAGGAAGAAAGATAACAAGTGAAAGGGAATAGGAAGAAAGGGAAAGGGTTATATAGGAAGAAAGATAACAAGAGAAAGGGTTATATAGGAAGAAAGATAACAAGTGAAAGGGAATATGAAGAAAGGGATAGGTTTATATAGGAAGGAACATAACAAGTGAAAGGGAATAGTAAGAAAGGGAAAGGGTTATACAGGAAGGAAGATAAAAAGTGAAAGGGAATAGTAAGAAAGGGAAAGGGTTATATAGGAAGGAAGATAACAAGTGAAAAGGAATATGAAGACAGGGATAGGTTTATATAGGAAGGAAGATAACAAGTAAAAGTGAAAAGGAAGAAAGGGAAAGGGTTATATAGGAAGGAAGATAACAAGTGAAAGGGAATAGGGAGAAAAAGAAAGGGTTATATATATTTTAAGGAAGATAACAAGTGAAAGGGAATAAGAAGAAAGGAAATGGGTTATATAGGAAGGAAGTCAAGAAGGTAGAAATAAAGGTAAAGGATGGGGGAAGAAATGTACAATAGAAGGTAATGGGGGTATAAAGAATGGGGTACGAAGGAAAGGGAAATGAGAGTTGTGGGGGGGGGGGGTAGGAGCACTATATAGAGTTTAGAGTATATGTATGAGGAAAAAGTTGCTTGGTCACGCTAAACTAAATATTGTAACTTGAGTTGACATCAGCCTACCACACAGTGAAGACGTACCAACAAATATTGACGCATCATGGACGCAACCGCATACCTTTGCTTAAACTCTTCCTGCATACGCAATTATTTGCAATTTGGACTAATATTTTAAGACAATGACTTCCAAGTTCATTTTAATTTTACAGATTTAAGACACAGTTTGTAATTAAAAAATTGATTTGCGGTCATTTTTTCTTATTCTTTTTCTAAGCTTTTTTGTGGCTTGAAAACAGCCTGCTTAATGCACTTAATAAAAGTACAACCTTCAGATAAAAAAATATTATTCTTGTTCTAAATGGGGGGAGGGAGGGGGGTGAGGAGGGTGAAAGAGACCGCCTAAAAATTGTCTTTATCTTTCAGACCTATAATTAACAAAATAATTGTTTTAAGAATGTTATTTTTGTTAACTTTAATTTATCTCGATTATTGTAATATTTGGTGAGAAAAACAGAAAAAAAGTTTTTTTAATTCTTTCCTTAAAATCATAAAGAGATTATTAATTAAATGCGTTTTTGAGGCTTTTTGCTTCCTTTTAATGATCATTTTGACTTTTTATAGTTTTTTATAGTTTTTTTATTCTTCCTGATCTTAGAGACTTAATTCAGCTCTTATTTGTATCAATATGAGGAAGATATCATCGATCCTTTACAGCCTTAAATATTCTCTTAATTTCCTTAATTGTCTCTATTGGATAAATCCTTAAGTTTCTTTGCACAGAGAACCTCAATCAACAGTTATCAACTTTTAGAAAGAAACTCAAAGATAACTTTTTGCTCCAACATTTAAGGGTTTTAAAGAACCGTTGTGAATCAGGCATGCATGGTATGGTGGTATCAACTTTCTTTCTAAGTTCTTTAGAAAAAAAAGAAAAAGAAGAAGGGGAAAAAATGTATTTATTTTGATTCTATATTTTATTAATTTAAATCACCGAAAACTCGACAAAAAAAACCTGTGAAAAAGGGTCTCCTAAGATACAAAGCAAAGGATGAGATTGTAAAGACGACCTGAAACTCTTATAATATGACGATTTGATTTGGCAAAGAAAGAAACAAGTTTACATAGAATCGTGATTATTAGAAAACAGATAAATATAAATAAGTTCCGTAAAGTCGTCTCTGAAGCTTTATCCTTTATACATCCTTTAAATTATCAAGGGTTTGGGGTTAGGGAGATGTAACATTTTTCAATTATGTTACATCTGTTTTTACGTGTTATAATTTTGTAACATACAAACACACACCCCCTCCCCTCTTTCCTAGGATGAGTCCACTGCAGATGTTCATATAAACGACAGAAAAATTGATTATGTTCTAAAATTACGTAAGCTGCACACCGCCTAGTGTTCCAAGTGAAACGATTAATTATAAAATTTTGAAACATTGATGGCGAAACATGTCTTGTATTTTACTGATTTGAAATTATTATTTGCTAAAAATAGCTGAAACTAGGTTAGGTTAGGATCTGAATTATCTGGAATTATCTGACTTTTCTTTTGACTTTACAGTTTGCAGAGGGGAGGAAGGTCAGCCACAACAATTTTTGTCTCATTTTATCGTCCGAGCCACCTCAAAATCCTCGTCCTTCCATTACTATGTGTTTTAAAGTTTCTAATTCTTGAAGATAACACATGTTAGATAAATCTCCACTATAGCACTGCAGATTACAGCAGCACTATAATCAACAAAAAAGATTATAGTTCTATAAACTCAGAATTATTTGCGGCATTCTACAGCAGGACTTTCTGAAAATGCGCGTAAAAAAGGTGATTATTTATAAGAACATCGAACTCAAAATTTAATTCAATTAAAACTAAATTTTTCGATTTAGAAAATTTCAATATTTCATTTATGCTTCAAGGTGGCCCGATTCTTAAAAATAGTTTATAATGTCGATTAGACACTAGAAAAAATTGTCTTGGAAGGACGAGGATTTCGAGGTGGCTCGGACGAGAAAATGAAGAGAATGTGGCTTGGACTAGAAATTGTTGTGGTTGGCCTTCCTCCCCTCGTCTACATCTTTTAATCTATATCTATGAATTTCCACTGAATATTTGACGGATTCCAAAGCAGACAGTTTTAGATTTCAAGCATTTTACCATTTGCACGAATTCATGAGAAATTTTGCACTTATACTGTAATTATATAATTACATTCTTCCTTTTTTGTAACAAACATAAATTATTTTTGTATATTTTTAGATAAAATGAGACTGGAAATAGTTCTTCTTGTCTGCCTGTCAGTTGAATCAGTTTTATGTTTTCCTGGGCCAAAAATAACCCGAAAGTTCGGTATACAGAAGGATGCATCAAAACCAACAACAACTGATGCTGAAGATACAACTGATGCTGCTGTTTTGATCAACGAGGATTCTGCCGAAGACATGACTCCTGCTTTTCCTACATCCCCCGTTTCTATTCTCAGCACTGATTCTAAACGTGAAACTACGTCTGAAAGTAGTAATGATGAAGTGAATGATATTTCTGCACTGGAAATCAACACAAAAACAGAAGCTGAAGCAATCATAGATAAAGATAGGACAACCGAGGTAGCAGCTGATGAAACTACAACCAACTGGGAAGTAATGGAAGATGATACTACTATAGCTCCAGACTCCTTGGCGGTGGAAGCCTCTAACATTGTAAACAGAATAGGTCTGCTTGGGAACACCTTGGGCCAAAACATCATTCAGAGTGGAAGCACATTGGGGCAAAATATTTTCCAGAGTATAGTACAGAAACAGCCAACTCCTCCTGTAGTTGAAAAAGTCAGGTAATTGGGGTCCACAAATATATCCATGCCGAACCCCTATGTTTTGGTGCAAGAACTGTGAAGATCAAGGTTTGAACAATTTTATAAAATATCATGATGTTTTAACTTTAAGATTGTATATCTGTAGACAGGAAATGAAAAAATGAAAGTTAGGAATGGGAGAGAGATGAAGAGATATTATGATATGAGAAGAAAGAAGAAAAACTATCGAGTGTCCTAGAAGGCCTTTAGTCGTCATTTCAAGCGACTATCCACTCTTAGAGTGACATAAGTTTCCTATTCTCATTCGCAACAGTACCCTTTGAACCTTTCTGTACAGAGCAAAGAAAAAAAATATTGTAATTTTTATCATGAAACATACACAATTTCCTTTTTTATCTCTCCAGCAACTAACCTTAACTCACTTTAATGGCATAGGCACAATAAGAAATCAAAGGAATTGAGTCTTTGGAACAAAATCAAATATTTAAACCTCAATATCTTTAGAACCCGATGTTGTAAACCTTTGATATTTCAAACTCAGATTATTTGATCTAACAAAATTCATAGTTTGAAATATCTAAGGTCTGCAACATTTGGTTCCAAAGATATAGTGATTATTAAATCAGAGTTTGTGGCAAAAACTCAATTCCTTTCCGTTAGAAAAATAAGGATTTCTCAATTATTCGTAGCTCACACTTTTTAAATAGAGAGCCGCTTGTAATAACTTCTGTATCCCCTTTTGTCGATAGAATTATTCCATAGAACTTTATCATATAACTTTATCATAAAACTTTATCATAGAACTTTGTTATATAACTTTATCATAGAACTTTATCATAGAACTTTATTATAAAATTTTATTATAGATCTTTATCATAGAACTTTATCATAGAACTTTATCATAGAACTTTATCTTAAAACTTTATCATAGAACTTTATGATAGAAATCTATCATAGAACTTTATTATAGAACTTTATCATAGAACTTTATCATAAAACTTTATTCTAGAACTTTATCATAGAACTTTATCTTAAAACTTTATCATAGAACTTTATCATAGAACTTTATCTTAGAATTTTATCGTAGAACTTTATCATAGAACTTTATGATAGAAATTTATCATAGAACTTTATCTTAGAACTTTATCATAGAACTTTATCATAGAACTTTATCAGAGAATTTAATCATAGAACTTTATCTTAGAACTTTATCATAGAACTTTATCATAGAACTTTATCATAGAACTTTATCATAGAACTTTATCATAGAATTTTATCGTATAGAACTTTATCATAGAACTTTATCATAGAATTTTATCGTAGAACTTTATCATAGAACTTTATCATTTTCAAACAATAACTGAAAGAAAATTTCCGTTTTGAATCTAAAAAAGGTTTCTCAAGTTAACAAAAGAAAATATTGCATAACAACACAAAAGGAGAGAATATTAGTTATATAAATTTATCATAGAACTTTATCATAGAACTTTATCATAGAACTTCATCATAGAACTTTATGATAGAAATTTATCATAGAACTTTATCTTAGAACTTTATCATAGAACTTCATCATAGAACTTTATCATAGAACTTTATCATAGAACTTTATCATAGAACTTTATCATTTTCAAACAATAACTGAAAGAAAATTTCCGTTTTGAATCTAAAAAAGGTTTCTCAAGTTAACAAAAGAAAATATTGCATAACAACACAATAGGAGAGAATATTAGTTATATAAGAAAATACAACAAAGAACTGAGAGAAATGCGGGAAATCAAATAATACTGGATGTGTGGGGGGGAATGAGGTGGGGGGTTCTTTCTGTTTTATTGATAATGGCCTGTTTTGCCTGGCGGGGGGAGGGGGGCATACGTTTCAAAGCATTTTACGAATTCAATTTTAATATTGAAATATCTTTTCCGCATGGATGGTCTCTAAAGATAATTATAGACCTTTTGGTTTTATAGATCTACAATGATACTCACAAAAGGAAAGTATAAAAACGACATTTAGGCAATAAATGTGTATTTATGTAATTGCACATTTGTATTGTACGCTTAGGGTTTGAAAATTTTAAAAAGAACAAAAATGGACATTTATATCTTCCGTTAAATTATTAGTCTCCCCGTCAAACATTTTGAGGCTTTAAAAATTTCTTTATTGACTCAAATGCATATATGTGGGTTTCCTGTCACGCTTTTCCTATTTAGAAAGTGTTTAGAGTGAAACCATAGAATTATCTTTGGTTTGTGTTTTTAACCTGAATTTAGAATTTATTAGTTTTAAAACACAATATTCATGCTTTTTATGAAATATTCTGGGGTGAAATCGATCAGAAATCAAAGCGTTAAAATTCCTAAAAAAATATCAGAGAAAAAGACATATTTTAATTCAATTAGAAGCTCATACAAAAGTAAATAAAAGCTATTTAAAATTTATAAAAAAAACTTTTAAAATCTTTTAATTTTGATTGTTTAGTTTAAAGTTTATACTTTTTTGAAGGTCAAAATTAAAAAGTCTTTCTAAAAAAGGGAAAATTAGGTTACATCACTGAATTAATATATACTTTTTGTGATAGAGGGCTCCCCTCAAATCCACAATTCAGAACTGCAAACAATTTTTTTATGTTTATGTTCTGTTTAAGATTTAAAAAGTGTGATAGCTCTGAGTTCTATTGGGGGGGGGGTGGCTACCCCCCTTTCCTCCCCCCTGTATACGCCCTTTTTAATTTTAAATATTTTTCCTAATGTCATAATTACTAACTCTATTAATTTTCTTACAAGGTCAAGTTTAAAATCTTGCTTCTTAATTAGGCCGATCAATTAAAACTTATATTATTTACAGTTAAATCAATTACGTCTAAATAAACAGTACTCAGGATATAGTAATAAAACGAAGAGGTGAAGCTTAGCTCAGATGTACACAACCGACCTGTCTATTAATTAATTAAAAGACAGGTCGGTTGTCTACATCTAAGCTAAGCTTCACCTCTTCGTTTTATTACTCTATGGTACTCAGCTTGTCCGTTTGTTTGTATTCAATAAACGTGAAAACGGCTAAACAGGCCATTAATTGATATTTTTTAATTCTATTTAAATCTTTGTTACATTCATTTTTCTATTTGGTAATACGTTTTACATCCACATTACACATACCTTGTAAACTTTAAAAAATTAAAATTACAAAGATTTAGACTTTAACGAAGACCTGAAATTCTTTAAAAATGACGATCTAAATATACAATGAGGTTTTGCTTTAGTATTTGAAGGCATATTTAATGATTTTGTAAAGATCAAATCTAACTCACTTTAGTAAAACTTAGTTCATTGATATTCTACATTATATATTGTGCTAAGAATATTAAATTTCGACATTCTATCCGGAGAACATTTTTTAACTTTCAATAAACCTTCTCTCGGGTCATGTGATTTGACACAGAAACTAGGGTCCGATCGGTTTAGATATTTTCACATTCATTTGAGACGGACAGACAAACAAACAGAAAAGAAAATATAGATAATGTTTATTTGGAAACCCTAAAAGTATTGAAAAGTAACAATCAAAAAACCTTGTTAATGTATTTTTAATAACTTAACTTTTACTAATTATCATCTCTGCAATTGTTTTTATTTCCCATGATATTGAATCTTGATCTTGATACTCCATATATAAGATGATATAAGTATAAACTTTGAGTTGTGTAAATTAGAAGTCTAATCTTATATGACGATTTTGAAAATAAATAGTGTTAGCCAAAGAATAATATTATAAATTCTTTGATACTTTTATAAAAATCAATTGATAAAAGAAATCATTAACAATTTTTTTGTCTTTTAGAACATCTTAACGATCAAACAAACCTTTTGAGCAAAGGGGGTTAAAGATTACTATAGAATTTAAACTGATCTATCATTAATAATTATATTATTATTGCTTAGTGCACCGGTTGTGGAGAGAGTTGATCCTGTGATCACGAATGTTGGAGGGATTGCTAGCATGCTTTTCTTTATGTCAGGTTAGAATTATCGTGTTCTTTATGTCAGAAACATATGTCAAGATTTCTTTATGTCATGGTAATAATTGTTATATACTAGGTTAAAATTGCGTTATGTCAAGATAGATATAGTATTTATTTAAATCAAGATAGATTTAGTATTTATCTATGTCAAGATAACTTTAGTATTATTTATGTCAAGATAGATTTAGTATTTATCCATGTCAAGATAGACTTAATATTTACTTATGTCAAAATACCTTTAGTCAAGACAGATTTAGTATTTCTTTATGTTAAAATAGATTTAGTATTTATCTATGTCAAGATAGATATATTATTTATTTATATCAAGATAGTTTTAGTATTTATTTATGTCAAGATTTAGAATTTATTTATGTCAAGACAACTTTAGTATTATCTATGTCAAGATAGATGAAGTATTTATCTATGTCAAGATTACTTTAGAATTATTTATGTTAAGATAGTTTTAGTATTTATTTATGTCAAGATACAGTATTTATCTATGTCAAGACAACTTTATGTCAAGATAGATTTAATATTTAGCTATGTCATGTATGTCTGTATGTTTAAGGTTTGGTGATGTCATTATCATATTTTATCAAAAATAGAAAAACTTTTCTGTTTTTTAAAATTTACTGTTTCAAAAATTAGCAAGCACAATGATAACCAGAAAACTCTGGAATATGAAGTCATTTGAATAAACAGACCCGTAATAAGTAATTTAATAACTTACTCTAGTTAAGATTTAAGCTATATGCTTTGTAACAACATCAAATGTACTTCAGTATTGCTTTTGTCTTCTTCATATTCCATTGTTCCTGGTTATCAAGACACAAACTTTAATGAATCTTTTGACCATGGCTTAGAAGAAACCACAATGGTTTAGGTTCAAACCATTTCCAACAGAAAATTACCAAGTTATATCAAAATATATTTCACCAACCTCATCTGTCAGAGATGTTTTAATTTATATTGATTATTTACACATTTAGATAGATATATGTGTAATTTGTCTATTAGTTTTCAATCTTTAATAAAATCAAATTTCTTTTTAATTAAATATGTGATGAACTTAAAAACAGACGAATTCTAGAATTATTAATATGATATTTGAATCAGTCATTCATTTAATAATTTATTCATTAAATATATATCCTTTCATTAATTCATTAATTCATTTATTCACTAATTCATGGATTTATTAATTCGTTTATTTAATTGTTCATTCATTCATTAATTCAATAATTAATTGAATTATTTATTCAGCTCCTTTCCTGTTCCCCATGGCAATGAGTGCCGGACGTCGGATTGGAAATGATCCTGTTCTGCAGAGGTGAGTTTTGATAGTAAAGCGAACACGTAGATTTCAAGTTGTTAGATGCAGATAACGTGGGAGTAATAATACTGTGAAAGGGAATACGATACATGGTGACTGAAAACTGAACTGGTGGAAACCGAAACCGACCAACAGGGTATCTGATCAGTTATCTAGTAGGTTTAACCCTATTCAGGCTAGCGTCTAAATTTACTAAAAATAGTCTAGGGGGCCGTCCTTTTATTTCCTTATTGAGATAATAAGATATAAAACACGTTTGAAAAGTTCTTGGGCTCTACTTTTATAATCTGAAAAAAATTAGCAAATTCGCAAAATTCAAATATTTATTACAATATCAAGTTAATTAAGCAAAAAATGTGCAAAAACAAAAAGTGCCCGAAATATGATAAATTATACATATTTGAATAGCTCTTTCCACGGCGAATTCAAATATGTAAAAATATTTGCAAAACTAAATTTGTAATCAAGGGAAACTAAAGATGTGCAAATTCTCTTTAAATACAAATGTGCAGAAGTGTTTGCAAAATTTCTTCGCAAAAATTGTGCAATCAGCTTTCTTTTGTCCAAAGCTTTTTAAAGAGCTAAAAAAAAGCCGAAATCCAATGACCGGAAGTAGGTCTAAATATAGTTTTAGTCGGACAAAGGTAGACTAAGGCATTCAGGCAGTATGCCTGAGAACAGTAGGTATAAAAGCCCCGCTTTAAGCCTAAGGTGAGGTGCATGTCTTAGTTAGAAAAGTCAAGTCAAAAATTTAAACAGCCTTAGACCAACACTTCAGGGGGGGGGGGGTCCCAGCCGGAATAGGAGTAAAGAAATATCTGAGAAGTATTAACTTCCTATACATAATTATACGCATTAATACCTACTCTATAATATAACTATATTTAAATTTAAAGAATATGAGCCGCCGGCTTAAATTTTAAGAGTCGGCTCAAATATGGTTGGTTCCTCTTAAAATTGTATTCAATGTTTTAAGAATTAAGCCGGCGCTCAATTAAAACCGGTTAGTTGGCAGATTTGAGACGCGGCTCTCAAATTCATAAAATTCGGACTCTGACCGAATTTAAGATTTTAATAAATTTTTTGCAGGAAAAGCCAGAAAGAATAAGGAGCGGGTACAATAACGTAAATAAATTTGGCATAACTTAAAAATTAACATATTAAAAGAAATGTGTCAGTGTAGTGTGATATGTACAGTGTAGTGTGATATGTACAGTGTAGTATGATATGCACAGTGTAGTGTAACATGTACAGTGTAGTGTGATATGTACAGTTCAGTGTGATATGTACAGTAAAGTGTGATATGTATGTACAGTGTACGCATGACAATTGCTGTGTTTTAATTTTATGTTCAATTGAGTATCTATAAACCATATCTTGAGTCTATCAGTTGTCATCAAATACACTGTTGTATGGGTCCACTGTTTTACAAAATAGTTTAGAATATAAAATTATAAATTATATTATAATATTAAATTCTAAATGTTTCAAAATAACCGGTATTTGAGAAAATTCATAAATTCTTATTATTATCAATCGAGCATGTTTCCACAAAATTATATAATTAAATGTTATTTAAAGACCAATCACTAACTCCATTTCTTGTATTCAGAATTTAAAAGTCATTTGAAGTTCTATGGTAACGTTGATTAAATTATAGGATATTAATTTTCAGATTTTATTTATTTATCAGCAAAAACGTTAAAAAGTATACAGTTTGTATACTTCACAAGCAATTTTAAACAACAGGCTTATTGGACTCACTTGTTGGATTGGAATGGACACCAGTCACCCGCACCCTAATAGTATTTACTATATAGAATTTGCTGGATCATGATACAGTGAAATTGTTTATAGAAATTTCTAAGTGTTTGGCTGGAAGGTCAACGGTTGTTCTATAAGAAGTAAAAATAGCTAGACAGGATAGCACAATTGACAATAATTATAAATAGACAGGACAGCAATCATAGAAATACATATTAATTGACAGGACAGCAAACATTGAATACAAACTAATAGACAGGACAGTACCATTGAAAATTAATATAAATAGACTGGACCATAACCATCGAAGATATATATGGACATGACAGCACCATAGACAATAATTATAAATATACAGGACAGCAACAACAGAAAATGAATATTAATAGAAAGGACATCAACATTAGAAAATGAATATTAATAGACAGGACAGCAAAAATAAAAAATGAATATTAATAGACAGGACAGCAACAGTAAAAAATGAATATTAATGGACAGAACAGCAAGAATAGAAAATGAATATTAATAGACAGGGCAGTAACAATAGAAAATGAATATTAATAGACAAGACAGCAACAATAGAAAATAAATAATAATAGACAGGACGCAACAATAGAAAATAAATATTAATAGACAGGACATCAAAAATAGAAAATTAATATTAATAGACAGGACAGCAACAATAGAAAATAAATATTAATAGACAGGACAGCAACAATAAAAAATGAATATTCATGGACAGAACAGCAAGAATAGAAAATGAATATTAATAGACAGGGCAGTAACAATAGAAAATGAATATTAATAGACAAGACAGCAACAATAGAAAATAAATAATAATAGACAAGACGCAACAATAGAAAATGAATATTAATAGACAGGACGCAACAATAGAAAATAAATATTAATAGACAGGACATCAACAATAGAAAATGAATATTAATAGACAGGACAGCAACAATAGAAAACAAATATAAATAGACAGGACAGCAACAATAGAAAATAAACAATAATAGACAGGACGCAACAATAGAAAATAAATATTAATAGAAAAAACATCAACAATAGAAAATGAATATTAATATAGACAGGACGCAACAATAGAAAATAAATATTAATAGAAAGGACATCAACAATAGAAAATGAATATTAATAGACAGGACATCAACAATAGAAAATAATTATTAATAGACAGGACAGCAACAATAGAAAAAAAATATTAATAAACAGGATATCAACAATAGAAACTGAATATTAATAGACAGGAAATCAATAATAGAAAATGAATATTAATAGACGGGACAGCAACAATAGAAATTGAATAATAATAGACAAGACATCAACAATAGAAAGAAATATCAATAGACTGTTTGGCCACATTTCAAGACTTTGGATTGGGTCTTAATGAAGTAGTCTAGTGTTTGACATTTCATTGCAATCCTGACTTACAAATCATCCACTGATAGCTTATCTTATGGGAAACTAAGTCTTTAGGCTAATTTATTAATATATACTTTGCTTGTCTGTCTGGGTGTATGGGTGTTTGTTTGTTTGTTAGTTTCCAATAAACGTTTGTTATAGTTTGTCAAAAAAAAAATGTGATTAGGCGACGAGAAGAGACGGCCGAGAGACTGTTTACTCCTATTAACCGAATGATGGAGAGAATGGGAGAAAACATTGAACAAAATCAGAAAACCTTCAGGGCAAATGTCAGGTAAAGATTAAGGGACGCTTTGTCTGATTTAAAACTAACTGTAATCTCTTTTATCTCTATCTGTATTTAATTGAATGGTTTTAAAAAGTATTAATAATGTAAAATGCACATTGTAGAATATCTACATATAATAATATAATATAATATAATAATATAAAAATTATAATAAGGAATACTGGAGCACTAATGAGATCGGCTACTGCAGCTGTACCTAAAATGATTAGGAATACTACTAGAAGAGCAATGGATGGGCTTAGGAAACAAAGCCAATCTACTCTTAGGTAAGAGTAAAGTTATAAATGAAGTTTTCTTAAATCTCTAGTCTTAACTAAGGTACAGGGTTATCTAGAGAGGATGAGACTGTAAAGACGATCTGAAACGCGTAAGATATGATCGACGATCTTAGACTAAAATATAACGTATTTCGTTTAGTGGATTTCTTATGATTTAGCAAAGAAACCAGTTTAAAGTTATTAGGAATCATAAATACAAGAAAACAGATAGTAAAGCATCTGTACTGTAGTCTCTGAAGTACCATCCTTAATGGGTCCGCTGTAGGTATAGAATTAAAAGGACTGCTTCTTAATCTAAAATATGGCTATAGATAAAATTCCCTAATCTAAACTACGATATAAAATATGGATATGGTCTGATATGGATAAAATTCCCTAATCTAAACAATGGTATAAAAATATGGCTATGGATAAAATTCCCTAATCTAAACTACGGTATAAAATATGGATATGGTTAAAATTCCCTTATCTAAACTACGGTATAAAATATGGATATGGATAAAATTCCCCAATCTAAACTACTGTATAAAATATGGATATGGATAAAATTCCCTAATTTAAACTACGATATAAAATATGGATATGGATAAAATTCCATAATCTAAACTACGATATAAAATATGGATATGGATAAAATTCCATAGTCTAAACTACGATATAAAATATGGATATGGATAAAATTATCTAATCTAAACTAAGGTATAAAATATGGATATGGATAAAATTTCCTAATCTAAACTAAGGTATAAATATGGATATGGATAAAATTCCCTAATCTAAACTAAGGTATAAAATATGGCTATGGATAAAATTCCCTAATCTAAACTAAGGTATAAAATATGGATATGGATAAAATTTCCTAATCTAAACTAAGGTATAAATATGGATATGGATAAAATTCCCTAATCTAAACTAAGGTATAAAATATGGCTATGGATAAAATTCCCTAATCTAAACTAAGGTATAAAATATGAATATGGATAAAATTCCCTAATCTAAACTAAGGTATAAAAAATGGATATGGATAAAATTTCCTAATCTAAACTAAGGTATAAAATATGAATATGGATAAAATTCCCTAATCTAAACTAAGGTATAGAATATGGATATGGATAAAATTCCCTAATCTAAACTATGGTATAAAATATGAATATGGATAAAATTCCCTAATCTAACCTTAGGTATAAAATATGGATATGGATAAATTTCCCTAATCTAAACTAAGGTATAAAATATGGATATGGATAAAATTCCCTAATCTAAACTACGGTATAAAAAATTCAAAAAACCGTTTTTTTAATTTACACGAACTTATAAGTAAAATGAATTGATTTACCTTGAAGGAATATAAGCTAATCTATGAGGTAGCATAGTAAGTCATGCTATGAAAACCATTTGCTCCGCTTGACCTACCGCTAAACTCAAAAGAAATTCATTTTCTCCATCTTAGGAATATTCCCCTTTTCTCCCCCTGCTTGACCTGACCCCCCCCCCCTTCCACAGAGCCCGGAGTCATGAGCCATTTCCCCCTAATCAAAAACTTCCTTGATGAAAGTAAAATTGTTTAACCCAGATTTCTCGAGAATTATCAAGTCATCCCCCACCACACATACTATGCATTCCAAGCAGGGACGTTTACCCCCCCCTCACATCCCCTCCACCTCCCAACCATACATACTATGCATTCCAAGCAGGGACGTTTACGCCTCCCTCCACCTCCCCACCATACATACTATGCATTCCAAGCAAAGACGTTTACCCCCTCCCCTCCACCTCCCCACTATACATACTCAACAAACAGGGTTCTTTGCAACCTTGTTCTAGGGAAGCTAAACTAAGAAATCATCAAATTCTTCGTTAGAAAAAAAAGACATCTTCATAACTTTTGTTTAGACCAACGGTTTAAGGGGTACCTAAATAAATCAGAAATGCCTCTTTATTTTGGAGGACCCATTTCAATTTTGTTCACAGTCCCTTTAAATATATTAAAAATAAATACTATTTTTAGACGAATGGGAAAAGCAACATCAAACCTGGGGAAAGCAACTTCAAGTTTAATGAATAGGATTTCTACAAACTACAGCAGGTATTCACAGCAGCACCTACAGGGTGTCCAAATAAACATAGCAATCGTCTTTGATCGCTGATATTAAATGCATGGCAAAGAAATTATAGAAACGAGGCTGTATGATTTACGAGCTTTTCTTAAAGTGTTCCACAGTTCTTGTGTCTTAAAATTTGATAAAGATATTAAATATTAGATATTACTTTACTGGAAGGTGATTATATCAATACAATGAAGACGACTGTCGCTTTCAATTTTGAGTTACATCAAGCTATTAAACAGCATGGATACACATAAACTTAGTCAAGAGAAGCTGTCAATTAAAAAGATTCTCTTTGATTACTTGTAAACTTGTAATTCTATAAAAGCTTATTAACAATAAAAACTTAAATAAAAAAGTCCTCTTCATTGTATTAATATAATCTGTATAATTTTGATTTAATCAATGAAAAAACCAAAATTGTTTTGAATTTCTGATTGGTTACCTGACATCGCTGCATAAAATTAAAACTAAATAACATAATGTTACGGATTTTGTCTAATAGTTTGGGTATTTTTTATACATTGTCTTTTGAAATTTCTTTATCCTTGTCTTTTGAAGTTTTCTTTTTTCACATCTTTTGAAATTTCTTTATTCATTGTCTTTTAAAATTTCTTTATTCCTGTATTTTGAAATTTTTTTATTCTTGTTTTTAGAAATTTCCTTATTCATTGTCTTTTGAAATTTCTTTATTCATTGTCGTTTGAAATTTCTTTATTCCTGTATTTTGAAATTTTTTTTGTTCTTGTTTTTAGAAATTTCCTTATTCATTGTCTTTTGAAATTTCCTTATTCTTTGTCTTTTGAAATTTCTTTATTCTTGTCGTTTGAAATTTGTTTATTCCTGTATTTTGAAATTTTTTTATTCTTGTTTTTAGAAATTTCCTTATTTATTGTCTTTTGAAATTTCTTTATTCATTGTCTTTTGAAATTTCTTTATTCCTGTATTTAGAAATTTTTTTTGTTCTTGTTTTTAGAAATTTCCTTATTTATTGTCTTTTGAAATTTCCTTATTCACTGTCTTTTGAAATTTCTTTATTCTTGTCGTTTGAAATTTGTTTATTCAAAGTCTTTTCAATATTGAATAATCAGGGCTCGAGCACGAAGCGCAAACAACCTCCGAAGATTTGGAGTTGGGTTAACACGAGCAGTAGCGTCCGCCAGGTAGCTTTCTACGCAAATACAATCGTTTTAAAAACGATGCCCATTTATAATATTGGCGGTATAATTACAAAGAAATTTAGCCTAAATTGGACTTCTTTGTAACTATTTCTGATTTGAAAAGGCAGTTTAATTTTCTTGCAGAATGATTTATTTCTCTATAAGGAAGTTCAGCTCAGTTTACATGCGGTACACAATATAATACTTGAAGTACTGTGGTTAACATACTTATATAAGTAAGGAAAAGTTGTGTATTAAGGTAGTAGGGTCATTCGACAGTACGTTCACGATAAACTGTCAAACCTTACTACCTTAGAACCAAGATAGTCAATAAGGTACAGGGAAGATCTTGACGTCACTGATCAATATTATTGGGGAGAAATCCTCCAAAAAAAGTGCCAATCACAATGATGCATATTTCGTTTACTCGCCTACAACAGACCTTATCCCAAGACAGGTCTAGGACCCAATGCCCTTCATTGCCATGCCCTATCCTCTGTGTCCTTTAAGAGTTAAGACGTAGCTGGTTAGGCAACGTACAGATTACAGAAGTTAGAATCACTAGAATTGTACGACTAGCCTATTCCAGGAATCAGGCTTAAGAACAGAACCGTTCCTTCCATATATAACAATGTTAGCCACCTCAAAGACGCTAAATTTAAAGATGCTGCATCAAAGAATCTACGCACATTGTTAGATCTATCAAATATTGTAACAAATGTCGTCATCTCTTATCATTAAAGGCATTTTTGAATTTAATACTCGATCAAAGTAAAAAAGGTTAAATTATTTAAATAATTTTTAGCCGAAATCCCCAAAAATATTTTTTCCAAAATGCGCGAAAACGATACACGATGGGGCAAACATAAGAATCGTAGGGAGACAAAAATTTTACTCACCTGAACAATGGCAAAATCTGGGACAGACTTTTTTAGAAATATTTGATCAGGTTGCTGAGTTATGCGGATGACTAGCTGATTTTTCTTCTCACTTTTTTTAGAGACAAAAAAAAGAAGAAGTGATTTTTATTCTAATGGAACTGATTGCTTGTCTGAAACTTAAATATATGTATATTTTTTCAATTTAATGGTAAAAACCTTTGATATTTCAAACTTTGAATTTTTTTTGGCCGAACCTATAGCGAGTGATCAGTGTCTTTAGTAGTAAACTTAATCTGTAAATCGTGTACATTTGTTAATAATTCCTGAAACAATAAATTTTAAATTCGTAAAATTTCAGCGAGAGGAAAGATTCAAAGATATCAAATAGAAAATGTACTTAAAAATATATTTATGGGGTTTTAAGAGAAAAAAGCAAGGACAGACAAGTTTATTAATGTTGCCTGAATGGGATCAATTTCTGACTTTAATATTGTCGAAAAAATAGTTGTAAAACCTGGCGAGATTCATTGGAAACTTTCTTATTTAAATCAGTAGAAAGGTTTTTACATAAGTGGGATTGATTGACAATTGTTGCATAATGTTGTTATAAAGGAATATTGATTGTTGGACGCTCAAGCTGCCAAAATAATGATGTTGATTAAAGGTGTACACAGCGTACGTCTAATAAAGGTGTAAAGAGCGTACGTCAAGTAAAGGTGTACAGAGCGTACGTCAAGTAAAGGTGTACAGAGCGTACGTCGAGTAAAGGTGTACAGAGCATATGTCGAGTAAAGGTGTACAGAGCGTACGTCAAGTAAAGGTGTACAGAGCGTACGTCGAGTAAAGGTGTACAGAGCATATGTCGAGTAAAGGTGTACAGAGCGTACGTCAAGTAAAGGTGTACAGAGCGTGCGTCGAGTAAAGGTGTACACAGCGTACGTCGAGTAAAGGTGTACTGGGCGTAAGTCAAGTAAAGGTGTACAGAGCGTACGTCAAGTGAAGGTGTACAGAGCGTACGTCGAGTAAAGGTTACTGCAGAGCGTACGTCAAGTAAAGTGTATACAGAGCGTACGTCAAATAAAGGTGTACAGAGCGTACACTATATTGAAGCATCTTAAAATAGAGCGTCTGTGAGCCACCCTACTTCAATCTTAACAAACGCTGAATTTTCTTAAAGAGAAATAATTCATCCTACTACGCCTTTATAAATCAAAGTTATTTACAAAATAGTCCGGTTTTGGCTGATGGAAATACAGTGAATAAAAAAGTATGGTTAATAGCTTAAAAAATGTATCAGTGCTTTAATTTCAAATTTTGAAATATAATAAAATATAAACAGTTTCACCTCACAGAACACATTAACATTCAAATTTAAAAATCTTAATAAGGGTCGTGTATCTTTCCAACGAGGAATAAAACCTTAAAAAATGGGTTTTTTTTAACAGAAAATATAAAAATTCACATTCACAAAACCAACAACACTACTGCACAGTGCACACACTAACGTTACCATTTTCTTGATAGAGGGTAGAGAAGTAGAAACTAAAACATCTTCTTCACAAGACAGGTAGAATACATACAGTGGTCCACAGAATATATCGGAATACATACAGTGTTCCCCAAAATATATCGGAATTCATACAGTGGACTCCATAATATATTGGAATACGGAATGTAATATAATTTGTATTCAATGCGAAGTACCCAACTCTATTATCCGAAGAAATAAAAGTCAATAAAGATGAAACTAAATTTTTCGTAAAAAAAAAGCATTAAAAAAGTGGAACCCGTGTTGTCCCCTCCAGCTTTTTACACTTAACACTTTCATTTCAGACTGGGGTAAGACAATATTGCATAATTTGGATCACATAATTGCATTTCAATATATTTTAGGGATCACTCAATACAAATATTTATATACAAATAAAATATGTAATGACTAATTGAGATGATAAAAATTATTTACAGTCGTCTTCGTACAAATCAAAACAATCAGAACGCCTTTTATATTTTGAATTAACTTCAACCAAGGTTTAAAACAGATCGGATACACATTGCACATATTCATTACAACTATAAGAAGCTGTCAATGTCAATTAACAAATTCTTTCAATGTTTACTTGTCAATTAACAGATTCTTTTAATGTTTACTTGTCAATTAACAGATTCTTATAATGTTTACTTGTCCATTAACAGATTCTTTTAATGTTTACTTGTCCATTAACAGATTCTTTTATTG